TTGTCTGCTTAGCATAAATTATCGTTTTGCTTGCTTGTATGTGGATTAATGATGCTGATTGAGGAAAAAGAGAACGAACAATTATGTAAATGGATAATGGTATAATGTGATCAGCCTAACTAGATATCCTGGGAGATGGTGGATGGACCGGGTCCGTAGGGGACCCTACCGGGATTGTGATCTCCCATACCGGACGGGGTATGGAGATCTTATGTGTTTTGGCGCCCATACCGGACGGGGTATGGGGACGGCCCGTTTCACCCTCATACCGGACGGGGTAATGAGGTCTATGGTTTCGCGCCCATACCGGACGGGGTATGGGGACGGCCCTGGAATTTGATTTCAAGTATTACGGATTTACGGGTAGCGGGACCCCTATGGACCCCCACGGATACTAGTAGGCAGGTAAATAAGGAAAAAATATGTTGTATAATGATTGAATTACGAAAGGCGTGATAAGTGTTATGTTTTACAGTTTATATGATTCCATGATTATGATAATGTTATTGCTTTCGTATATTGTTTTATAAATTCCACCGAGGTAAGTGGATGGTAAAGGTTTTATTATTAATAAAAGAATTTGTCGTAAATCATGCTTCATTGGTCTTTTGTGTTTTCTACCCACCTTTGCCTCCGTGACGGTGAGATATCGTGATGTCTTTACTGGGCTAGTGTAGCTCATTCCTTATTTAATCATTTCAGATCAAGAGGACATCGTTCCCGAGCTGGTTCCGCAGGAGGACGACGAAGGGGACGCCTAAGGACTCCATAGTCACATTCGTAGTTTTTACTTTCAAGTTTCCCCTTTAGGTAGTTTAATCTTTTATATTTTGTGAGCACATTTTTGGTTTTAGTGTAAGGGATGTTAATCAATTTTGTCTTCGCTTCCGCATTTGATGTTTATAATATAAATTCCATTTTAAATTTCTGAGGCTGCTACAGCGCGAACATCCCCTCTGCGCGCACGGCGCTGGGTCAGGACCTGCGCGTGTCCTGTCGCGTGCAAGCAGGCCATCTGTGCATCCTATCACATGTAGGCGAGCCATCCGCGCGTCCTATCACGTACAAGCAGGTCGTCTGCGCGTCACCTCGCACGCAGATAGGCACCGCCATCAGTGGAGGAGGCCCTCCTCCCTCGTTTTTCATGCCAAACATCTTTTTCTCCTCTCTCTTCACTAGATTTTGCCACTTGACGTGAATTTAACAGTTCCAAAACTGTATAAATTACTCTCCCCCATTCCTTCCTCTCCACACTTCCATTCTTCCATTTTTTTAAAGGTTTAGAGAAAGAGAGAGAGTGAGTGATAGTAATCTAGGAGAAGAAGAGAAAGAAAGGAGAACGGTGAAGGAGAAAACATCAAGGTTTTAGTAAGGAATCTAGCATTTCTTTCGATATCTTAAGGAGTATTTTTAGATAAACTAATTTAATATTATTGATATTTTGCCTGTTTTGTACCTTTATTTACTTTTGTCTTTTTACAAACAATCAAGTAAAAAAGGAACTATGGTAATAATCTAATTTTATTCATATTAATTTTGACTTGTTTCAGAAAATAGGTTAATGTCGTTACTGTTTTCATTGTTACTCCTATTATTATTATTATTATTATTATACATATGATGTAACTAGTAAAGAATAAAAAAATTCAAAAAAAGAATAAAAATGATAAAAAGAGAAAATTAAAAATGGAAAAAATGAAAAAATAAAGAGGAAAAGGAAAAAAAAGAAAGAGAGGATTAAAAAAAGGAAAAGGAATATGGTTAATTAAAACCTAAACCCAATCAAGTCGAAGCCAGCCCAACAAGCAAAAGAGGTAAATGGTAAAAAAGAAGGCAGAGCCTAGCTTGTGGTAGCCTAACACTGCACGGGCTCGTCTAGCCAAGCTCAGCAATACAACGATTGCCCTAGCTGTAACGACGTTTTTTCAGCTTTAACAAAAGATTAAATTGGTGTCGTTTCATTAACCAATGCGACAACGTCTTTGCATTAAATTAAAAAAAAAAAAAGCTCAGGGTTTATATTTGGCTAAAAAATAGAGAAGAAAGAGAGGTGTGTGGTAGCTGAAGAAAAGGAAAAAAATGAGAGATTGGCACGGATAAAAAAGGGAAGAGAGAGGTTTCTCTGGGGTGGTAAAGTAACAATGAACGATGGAGTATCTCGAGCATGATAAGAGTGACTTGGCTTGTTATTCAATTAGTTTATTAGTATAAGAGAGAGCACCTTTTGTGTTGTTTGATTGAGAATAGTGAGTTGTATTTGTGTAACCCATTGGTGAAGCTAGTGATTCAGGAACAAAGTTAGTCATCAAAATCATGTATTATTTAATGGTTTGTGATTGAGCATTCATGAATTTTGATGTTTTGTGTTTAAAAGGCCCTTGATGCTCTTGTTTGTTCAAGAAATTTTTCGTTCTTAATGTCTAGGTTATTCTATAGCTTGTTCTCTAAATTTTAAAATAATGATTCATGAATTACAAACCAATGGAAGGGATTAAGTTAGCTTAGTGTTTATATTTAAACTTAGTGCCTATTATTTATAGATTAACTTTAATTATTTTTCTTTGTACGTATAATAAATTAATTTAATTTGTGTTTCATTTTATTATTTATTATTGTATATATCCTAAGGTTTTGGTTATTTCAAAGGTCTTATTTTCTTTGCTTTTTTGTTTTTGTTTATCTGTTTCATTGTGATTCTAAGTTAAATTTCTATAATAGTACTATGTTTAATAGAAAAATAATCAAATATGAGTTGTGAGTGAATTATATATTGATTTTGTTTCTAATATGAAGAATAGAAGTACATGTGGCTGTGTCTCATTGAAATTTGCAACATATGATTAATCAAAATTAAAAGACAAATCCGTAAATCATGAAAAAAAAGTCATTAAAAGTTAACTCTATTGGAAATCAAGAAATGGTGGAAATGGTCTAAGGAAGAAGACACTTGATGATATGGTTCTTTTTTTTGTCGTGCATTTTAATCCCAGCTCCCCAAGGCTTGTAAAATATTTTAAATTAATAAATTTAATTATCAATTAATGACATTATCATATACATGCAATATAAGTATTTTTTTTCTTTTTAATTTTGCATGTAATTTACTCTATTATTTTGTTTATATAATAGAGTAGGTGCTTCAAACTTTCCTATCATACCCTTCAACCAAGAATTTCTAAACCCTTTAGGTTTTTTTTATCTTCCAATTTCACTTGCAGTAAGATCAGTTTCAACTCTATTTTTTGCTTTTTAAAATTTGAACTTTATTTTTTGTGGAGTTTCTTTTTAGGCCCGCACCATCCTCCTTGTGACAGATATTATGGCTAAAAATTGGTGGTTTTTTTTTTTATTTATATGTTACTTTCAGAGTTTACATGAGGTGTATGGGAGAAGTTATGAATTTTGGCAATAGAATATATTAAAAAAGAATCAATTTAGATGGTAAACTATAAACATACAATTTAGTTTTAAACTTTAGTATGCTCTTGGAGCAGTGTGATTCTCTCTATTAGGTTGAGTTTTATCTCCTTGGGTGTGGAGTTTGGAGCCACTGTCAGATCTATTCCTATTTTGGTACCTTCTACTAGGATCCTTCTTTTTTTCTTTTTTCCAAATAAATATTTGATGTCCTAAATTTCTTTATTTTTCCATTATTTTTGGTTTTGTTGTTTTCACAGTGGTGGTTCAGGATTAAGAGCCATGAAAATGATTACAATGTATAAAGCTTTGCACTGTTTAATAGCTTATTGTTTAAGGCTTGGAACATACCCACTCTGAGCTAAGTAGAATCTGAGATTGATGTTGTGGAGTTTAACAACTATGGATCAAACTAAGAAAATGGAAAATAAAATATTATCTAGGTGGAAGGTTTTACAGGAAAAAAACATTTAATGTCCATGCTTTGACTACCATAAAACTGATTTTTGGAAGCCATGGGAAAGTTTGCAAGCCAAAGTATGGACGCGAAACCTGTTCTTGTTTACCTTTGTCGGTGAATATGACCTACCCCAAGTGCAGCAAAGAGCACCATTATCCTTTAAGAAATCAGTTTTATGATTTCGACAAATCTTAAGAACAAAAAATCCAAATGATGTTAAGTGTTACAATGAGGAGATATGGGGGAGGGCTTATGAGCTTCCATAAAAATGAATGACAAAAGCAATAGCGAAATTTATTAAAAGAAGATGAGGTAGCTAGTACATGTTGACCAAAACACCTTAGGTACTCATAGGTTAGAATTATGATGGATGTCAAATAACATATCACATAAGGCAGATAGTTGGTACTAAATGAGTTTTGTTTAGATATAAAAGATAACCAAGTTATTGCTACAATTTCAATAGGTGGGAAATGTGATGAGATTTTTTGTCTTACATGATGGTATTAATGTAAGTCATGTGACAAAACCCAAATACTCTAATAATGCACAAGTTCCAACAGTAGGGACGAACAAATGCTCTGGCAATTAAAGAAATCCAGTGTTATTAATATAGGGAAGATGAAGGAGGCATAGCTAGGGGAGTCAAGAGATGGACCTAATAAGTAAACACGAAACTCAATAAGGCCTAAAACATAAGCGAGTGTGGATCTTCTATAGCCCAATTTCAAAAAGAAAATATCTAGAGCCCATGATAAAACCCACACAACCAAATGATGGATTAAATTCAACCCTTCGAACATGTTTACAAAGCCCAGAGCATAAGCCTCTACTCGGCCTATTTCAATGCACATAAATTGTATCTAGTAATAGGAATTCCCCAGTTTTTTATAGAAAAAATATCAAAAATAGAAAGAAAAAATGAATTCCAAGGGGGCCATTGTTAAATAAACCTAAAACTTGAAGTTTTCCTTTTTTTTTTTGATCTTCCACTGATTCCTTCAGAGTTGAGGACTTCATATGCATTGTTCAGGAAAAGATTAAAATTTTTCGTAGCTTAGTTTCAATTTTTTTCTTGAAGCTATTAAGTTTTGAGTCTTCTCTGGAGACGAAAGAGGTGAGTCATTTGATGAAGCATGGAGAAGCCAAAAGCTTGTTGATCTTTTCTTTATGTTCTGTAGTGCTGTCTTGGATTGGTATTTAACTTTCTAGTTGTTGAATTTCTAATGGCATGTTAGCGAACCTGCACATATATTTGGGAAAGAAATAAATGCATGCAAAGGTAAGATGTAATTAATAAAACCACAGGGTGGGGTTTTTGCACGTTTCTGTCTGTATGTTTTGAGCCAGATTATTTACTAATCCATTCTTTTTGCAGGATCCTATCCATGAATGGATCAGCAGCAACTCCATTTTTAAAATTTTAATTTTTTTAAATATATTTTCCTTTGGGAAGCTAGGGCATCGTGTTTGTGACATTATACATGATTGTTTGTTTACTGGCCAGTTCCAATGACTGCTTGATACTTTGAATTGCTGATCTAGGTTAATAATGTGTATTTCATTGTGTACTGGCTTTTGAGTTTGGCATCTGGTTTATTGGGGTTTGAATTCTCATTGCTGGTTCAATTAAGGAGGAGCTCTGTGCTTGGAGGGGCATCTCAGGGGATAAGAGAACAATTTATCCCTCTGGCTGCCTTTTGGGTCATTGAAAAAGGATTGGAAGGGCTTTTGAGGGCATTAAATTTCATTTTGTTAGATTTATAGGGATTCTTGGTTATAGACCTTAAGCTTTTAGATTAGGATGACTTGCCTTATTCTAGCGAAGATCTAGAGGACCGAATAGACATTTTCTTAAATTTGTAAATATCTTGTTTTTGGAGTGAACTCTCTTGGTGCTTGTGAATGTAATTCATCTTTTTTTCTCCAAAAAAAAAAAAGAATTTGTATTTCATGCATAAATTGGTGTATTTCATGTATAAATTGGCTTGAGTGAATATGGGTCTTTGCACCCTTGCTTCATGTTGCTTGTTGATTTAATCATTATTCTGACCACTGGTTATACACAGTCAATTTCATTGACTAACGAAAAACCTCATGAGGCCTAAATAATTAAAATAGTAGGTGGTTATTAGCAACAGATACTCAAGAAGTATTCTTCTAAATGTTTGGATATCTGGATATGGAATTCATGGCATGATTATGTCTTTCCTGAATATTAACTTGATCTTAATTATACACCACGAATAAATTGCAAATTCTACTTTCTATATGCTATGCAAAGGTTAAGTTGAGGTTCTGATGTTGCTAGTTAAAAGTTGACTATGAAGATCGGGTGGCAAGGTTTAGGATCTTTTTGTCTCTCTTAATAACATGGTCATAAATTGTTGTGGGGGATTTTCTTAAGTAAATCAAATTAAATGCTACATGTTTTACACTGATATGCAAATCTTGGTGAAATTTCACAAATTGCAAGGTTGCACAAAGAGATATATGCTCAGCATGTAGTTCTAAATTGCCCTTCCAATCATCTTTGGGCTTAGTGGCAGGATAGGTTGTTGACATGGTTCAGCTCATGGAAGAGTTTGAATAATGGAGATTTTACCTTTTTTTTTTCAGTTATGAACCTATAATATGAAATTTCCTTTTTGATGGTTGATTTTTATGTTTTTTAACTTTAGTGTTTCTTTGGTTTTTATTTTAGGATCAAATTAAGTTCTAATTAATTAATATACATCATAAGACATAAAAATTTACCTTTATGTGTTGTGTTATTTTCCTGAACCTATAAACTGGGAAATTGATCAGTGCCTACTTGTTTGGTGTCTGATGTCACTCATTAATTGGATCATTGGACTTGAAAGTTTTTAATAAAATTTTTATTAGCTCCCTGATGTTATGATTATGATAATTTGATATTTGAGCCTCTGTTAAGTTGCTTTTGGTACATGGCATGTAATCTTTGGTTAATGAGGATAGATTTGGTTTTAAAGAATAATATCATGTTGGGAAATCATGAACTTCTATTAAAGTTTTGGTCATTTTGACGAGTTGTTTAAATATCATAGTTGAACTTTTTAGCATTTTATATTAGGTGGATTTCTGTAAATAGCCCTTCATTTTGGAAACCTCTTATTATGTGATTTTCTTTTTATAGTTTATTTTATGGTCATGATTCTGCTAAATATTATATTAGCATTAAGTTCTTTTTCTTTATTAATTGGATTTCTTCCCTTATATGAGCTTCAAGGATTTTGTTTCTGTAGCTTTTTATGGCTGTTGAAGATGACAATAATTTGTTTTACAGTCTTCTACCGAGGGAGAAAGATAGTGAGTGAAAGAGAGTGTAAGACAACAACACAATCCCAGTATGGGCAAGAGAGGAGGCTCCAATACAGTACCAAATACGCAGTCAGGGTCCCAAAATCTAATCTCGCTAAGAGAAGAAGTTACTGGTAAAAAGCAAATGAAAGGAAAGGCAAGGGCTGGACGACCAACTAACGTAAAGGCTATCCTGAGACATGAGCACTTACAGAACCATGCAGTGTGGACAAGTCAGGACACGTCAATGCCCTCTTTGGCAGCATTTTTCGGACACTGTTTGGCTGCTGATGGAGAAGCTGCAGGGATTGTTCCAGACCTTTCTTTGTTCTCTTGCCAGAAGTTTGTCCTCTCCCTATCTTGATAATTGTTTTCATGTGTGTGTGTGTGTGTGAATGTTGGAAATTTTTGAAAGATTGAGTTGGGGTCCTGAAATAGAATAGCTGCTTTTGATGCTTACAAACGAGAATAGGTGTATCTGAGGCCAATTATGATTCGGTAATTATTGTGCTTGTGTACATCTTTTACTGTCCTGGTGTGGTTCAGAATATATAAGGTTGCAAATAATTTGTTCATGATGAACTTAAACAGGTTGATGAATTATTTTTCTTGTTAGGACTCTTGTAAATAATAATATATTTAGTTCGATGTTAGTTTTTAATCTATATTTATTTATGTATTTATTCCTGTGACAAGAATGTTTGCAGTTCCATATTTTTTTTGTTCCAGATGTGAGACAATCCTTCATCCTGGCTTTAATTGCACTATTCGAATCGAAAAGAATTCAGTCAAGGTGCAGCACAGAAGTAAGAAATTGAATAATTCATTGACGCAGAATAATGTGGTTTACAAGTGCCACTTTTGTTCTCACAAAAATCTGAAGAGAGGCACTCAAAAAGGTCACATGAAAGAGATTTATCCAGTCAAGCCAACTAACATTTCAAAACTTTAACCTTCTAAACCTGCCACGTCGATACTCCAAAACTTTGTGATCAACTCCAAGGAAGGTGCTGTCAAAAGCCAAGATGAAATCCAGAAGGTGGATGGAATCACAAACAGCCCATTAACACCAATGGTGAGACCTGCCACTACTTTGCTAGATAGAAACAAGAGGAAGAGAAACAAATCCCGGACTCCGAAACCATCTGAGGTTGAAAACAAGTCTGCCATCTCTGATTTGGATAAAACTCTCAGTGCTTCAAGTAAAAGAAGGAGAAAGTCATGGACAAGCCTCAAGGAAATTGTCAAAAGTAATGAGCGTGATACCAGTCAGAGAGTTCCTGACCTGAAAATTCCTTTTCATTTGTAACAAAGGTAAGGTTTTCCAATTTAACAGGTACAAATTTCTATTTATTCCTTGTTATAATTTAAAATGTTTGTTTTAGCCTTACATATATAATTTTGAAGCTCCCAGAGCAGAGAATGAGAATGGTCAGTTATCAGTCTGTTGTTTTCTTTTGCCCCCAAAAAGGAGAATGAGAGGCCAAAAATATATGATATAACTCAGATGTCATGACACAGGAGTTTACAATCTAAATTCTAGTCATATCTGTAAAAAAATTAGGAGAGAGTAAGTAGACAATAACAATTTTAATACATTTTAAATAACCATCTTAATCAAATAAGATGCATTTGATTAAAAATAATAGAATAAATTGATACTGGGCTTTGCCAATTAATCTTCTACTCTTTTGAAATGTTTTTATGAATACATAAATATCATAAAAATGTTAGAACTGGTTAATAATAGGTATTGCCAACAAATTTTTAACTATATAATATTATGAATATGTAAATAACATAAACATACTGATTTAAGAGTAAACTATGTTTTTTTGGTTTGAGGAGGTGGCTGGTTATCCGGAGGGCTTTGAAAAAGCAAAAGAGAGAGAGAGGAGGAGGATCAGTTTTTTTGGGAACTTGATGCACAGAATAAGGAGAAACAGAGAGAGGAATGAGTTGTTATGGGTTTTGGAGTTTCAAGTTTGTATGTGTATTATGATTTTGTATGGGTTTTAGAGCATAAGAATCTACATTGAATTGATTCTAGTATCTTGGCTCCACTTGTAGGGATTGTCAAAAGGGACATATAGTAGATAGAGATATTGGTTGTCATACTTTTAATTAGTATAAGCCTCCCCCTTAAGATAGGAGGTTGCTCTTCTATCCTGTCAAATTCCTCTCAAACTGCACCGTCACAGGATCCTAGGTCGTCACATCTTTATATTTATCCCCTAACGGCAACCCTAAGTATTTAATCGACAACTTCACACTTTAACACCTCATAACTCTCGCCAAATTAGAAGCATCCTTCCATCACCCAGTCTCACCAGCTTAGGCTTGGCTAACTTAATATTGAGTTCAGAAACTGCTTGAAAACTCAGCAAAATGCATATAAGGTTAAGTATTACCCTCTCATCCGGTTCACATGGTACCAAAATGTTATCAACAAAAAATATGTGAATTACCTCCTTCATATGCTCACCCTCACCCAACTTTAAACATTTAAACAGCTCCAGCTTCTGACTCTTAACGGCATTTGTGTTTAGGACTTCCATGACAACTATAAATAATGGAGGAGACAAGGGATTACCTTGTCTAAGACCTTTGGATGCTTTGAAGAATGAAGATGGGCCCTCATTCACCATGACCGCAAAAGTTTTAGAGGTACATGAGTTGATCCATTTGCATCATTTGTCTGCAAAACCCAATATCTTCAACATATAATCAAGAAAGTCTCAATTTATATGATCATAGACTTTCTTCATATACAACTTATAGAGGACATCTTCCCTATTCCTGTGTAACAGATCATCCGCATCTCATTAGCTACAAGAGCCACATCCAAAATTTATCCACAAAAGCATGTTCGCACTTGACCTCCACTCTATTCATCACCTTGACCATCTTTTTAGTTAGCACTTTCGCTGTGAGTTTATAAACACTCTCAACTAAACTGATAGGTTTGAAGTCCTTAATATTAGCTGCCCACTTCACGTTTGGAGTGAAGATCAAGAAGGAAGATTTTAAAGATCCAACAAAGGTTCTGGATTCATGAAACTCCATAAAAAGTCTAAAAATGTCTTCTTGTATTAAGTGCCAAAATTTTTGTAGAAAATCCATGTTGATGGATATAGGTCCTTAATTTACCTGCTATCTTCTTAATTCTCTCTTCTACCCTTTTCTTTCTCCGTATATAGGTCCTAGGTAACACTTTTACTCTAACCACATTCCGGACTTTTCCACTAAGTTAAATTCTAAACTCTCAAGGACATTAAGATTCTCCATTTTAGAATTTATCATTATTGGTTTTAGTGCTATAGAGTTTTTAGACATAACCTGATTCTTTGATCCATTAATTATCCTCCGATGTTCGTTAGAGTCACATGGAATAGGTAGGACGCCATCTCTCTGGACATCCTTACCGGTCCGTAAGTCTTCTGGATCGTCCGTATCAACCTGCTCACCTACCAATAATTTAACAAAATGATATGGTCAAATGAGCATGTTGGTTTTCTTGTGCCTTTGATAACTTCCTACAAGTTGCATAAGCATGGTTTTGGAGTGGAGGTTCTTTCAATTTTATCTTCTTTTATAATTATTCTTTTAAATAAAGGACAGAAACAGAATTCAATTTAACCTTTACGGGTTTCATTTTCACTTTTTACCTTTAGGGCTTAACTGGAAACATCCAACAGAAATATATGTTAACTGGTAATTCAATAAGCTGCTAGGAGGATTAGTTGCAAGATACTAGTTTGTTCTTATCAGTGCTTATGTAGGCTTTTTTTGGGGGATTTCATTCGATCTTTATTTATTCTTTTCTAATTTTCCGAACTTGCATTTTAGCTTTATTTCTGGTTTGATTCAATATGTTCCAGAGTAATATGCATTACCGTGTTATTATCTCAAAAAAAAAATGCATTACCGTGTTATTGTTTCTTGGTCTAGAAATTTGACATGGTGTGAGAAGGCAGTTGATGTGTAAAAACTTGCTTAATACAAAATAAGTTGCATGTCATATCTCTTACTTTTCTTCAATGCTAAACTGAGAGAAGACATTAAGCAAGAAAATGTAACTTTTCATGCACAGTGTTCATGTATGGGAGAGATCGGATGTGGTGTTGTAATATTTTGCTTTCTGTTCTCAGTTAGCTTGTATGATATGTGCCAGAGAGAATATTAAAGGTGTCTCAAATGCTTTTGTGGGTTTGGATTTTAGTAACAAATTGCTCCTTGTCATTCTTTGAAGTTGGTAGGTGATTATGTTGTTAAGTGTCAATAAGTGGGTATTTCTTTTATGTGTTTACATGAACAAATCAGTTCACGTGGATACGAAAGTTAGGTGGCTAATGGTAACGTGCTTGCATGGATTTGCTAGGATTTTTCTTAGCATGAAAAATTCATGTTAAGGAAATGCTAATCTATTTTATATCTGGTGGGGTATTTCAGCCTTAGTTACAGCGTTCTAATACTCTTTAAATAGATTAATGTCTCCATTATAATCCACGTATGATATGTTGCATGTTACTCTCAGCACTTGGTTAGTTTTTACCGCTTGTTATAGCCATGGTCTAGGGAAGTGCAGAGTCTGTCATTTGTTTTGATATTTATTTAATTTGCTAACATTTGGTCTGGACTTAATAGGTAGAGTTTTTATGCTAGTAAATGATTTGTGTCTCTTGTATTAGTTTTCTTTGCGAAAGCATTTGTCTGTTTTCCTTTTGTGGTGGAGGTCTTTGATTATGTTTGTATTGGAAGTTGGTGCATAGGCATTTTATTTTTGTTTAAGTTGGCGAGAATCTTTTATTTTATATAAAATAGAATAGTTTTAGCTTTAATTAAGAGTCTATTATGCTGGCTGGGTGCTTTATACCTTTTCATCTGGTATCATCCCTTTGAAATTTGTTCTCTCCCCTGAAGATTAATGCACGAGGTTATCTGATTTTTGCTCCCCAATATGATTAGTAGTGGTTCCTTTTCAACTTTAGTTTACTTTTCGTGGAGTCTTGTTGTTTCCCCTTTTTTTCTGTGTATTTTCCCCTTTTTCCCGTGTATCTTTTTTTTTTGTAATAAAATAATAAGAACAATATATTAAGATCAGGAGAAGGAAATACAACAGAAAAGAATGAGATATCCTTTGAAAAGAAATAAAAAACAAAACAAAAGACCCAACTAGAAATGCAAAAGAAAACATCTCACCCAATAACAATGACATATGCATGTTTAGAAAGATATGGATATGGGTGCGAATTATCTCTTACAGACAAGTCTTTTGACTTTCTAAACATTCTGTCTTTGAGAACTATTGTCTCTTTGTTCTTTTTTTATCTTTTGTAAATTTTATAAGTTGGCTATGTTAAGCTTCAAGAAGTTTTCTGTTCAAATTTGAGTAGTTCATAAAACTGAAGAAGCGAGGGTTCATGGCATCAGTCAGGAAAATTCTACATATCCAGTGGTGGGATTTTGGCAATCAAGGTGTCTTTGGGTAAAGTCAATAGTTTTGTGGTAGTTATCAATTTAAGTGAGGGCGGAAGATGGTGTTGTAGATAGTATAAAAGTAGGAATGCTACATGTAGTTTGGGAATAGCATGATTTTGGTTTTTCTTTTGGTGATATTACAATTATTGTAACATGTTCTTTCAGATTTTGCAATCTTCTTGACTCATTGGGGCATCCACGAATTTGTTTGGGCCTATATGACTGTCTTATGAATGAAGATTAGAAGTTTTTTCTGCTAAGCTGATATCAACTTTTCTTTTCAGCATAGGTGTCATCTCAATCAGCCTAAAGGGAATAGTTATTAGTTACATATCAACGTTGGTCCCATGATTGATGGTTTTCATTCATACAGAAAACATGAAGCTCATTACACTTGCCAGATCCATTTGTGCCTGTCGTGTCCCTTCTGAAATAACTGGACCTTTGCAGTTCCGTTCATTCCAATGTGATTTTGTTCCAAGAGATCCCAAAGCCAAGCCTAAACGGTACAAATATCCTCCCTTTTATGATCCATATGGACCAAGACCCCTTCCTACTGATAAAATTGTTCAGCTGGCTGAGCGAAGCATTGCTCTACCCTAGAAGAGCTTATATATGTACCCCACTAAGTTGATGGGCCTGAAGTATGTAATGTTTTTTGCACCCTCCACCTTGGCAATCAATGCAAGGAAAGTAGAATTCAAAAAATGAAACGGACTGATGTAGATCCTTGAAAATATCCATCAGGTCTTCCTTAATTATGTGCCAAAATTCTTGTAAAATCTCGTATTAAAACCGTTCGGTCCTGGTGTTTTATCACCATTACAACTTTAAAGATTATCGAGTATCTCCTCCTCAGAGAATTCCTTCTCAAGACTGATTCTATTCATCTCGCTTAGTTCCTTAAACGTGAAGCCCGTCCAGTTTCAGTCTTCCGTCAAACTCTTCTGTAAATAGCCACTGAAAAAAGTTCTGTGCTTTCTCGCTCATGTTATCATTGCCCGACACCTGGATGTTGTCAATCAACAATTCATCCAAATAAATGTACATTCTTCTATAATTGGCCAAGCAATGAAAATACTGTGTTACGATCCCCCATCTTTCAATCACTTCTCCATAGTTTTTTGTCTCCAAGAGATTTCCTCCATAGACAACATATTCGCCAAATCAATTCTTACCATCTCTCTTCTCTCTCCGTCCTCCCTGGACAACCCCTCCTCCCCTTCCATAAGATCAAACCCCTCTAACTCTTCCAACAACCTATCAGTACCCTCTTCTACCTTTACCTTCTTCTCCTTCACTCAATTTTTTGTGGCCGCTTTCAACATAATAAGTTTTTTGGCCACTGAAAAGTTTGCCTTCCCACTCTCTAAAGCCTCTCTCCACACTCTCTCCACCATACTCCTAAAACCTTTCACCTTGAGCCATTTATTGTCCAACCTAAACGGTACCAGTCACAATTGGGTGCCATCAAACATGATACGTATGGGGAAGTGATCAAAGATCGTTTTTTGTAGTACTTTCTAACAAATACCTGAAAATTCAAGAAAACAATCATTAGAGATTAAAAACCAGTCGATTCTTGAGCAAGCCAGAGGATTCCTTTCATTAGTATGGGTCCACCTTCCCCCTCTTCCCTCCTCCCTTACCATCAATGGTAAGTCAACCAAACCTAAATTGTCAGTTGGACCCCTAAATTCCTCTATATAACTTCTGGATAATTGTTCACCCGATCTCTCCTTATGCCTCAATATTATGCTTTACCAATTAATCTTCCGCTCTTTTAAAATGTTTTTATGAATACATATATATCATAAAAATGTTAGAATTGATTAATAGTAGGTATTGCCAACGAATTTTTAACTATATAATATTATGAATATGTAAATAACATTAACATGGTTTGAGGAGGTGGTTGATTATCTGGAGGGCTTTGGAAAAGCAAAAAAAAAAGAGAGGAGGATTGGATTTTTGGGAACTTGACGTACAGTATAAGAAGGAGAAACAGAGAGAGCAATGGGTTGTCATGGGTTTTGGAGTTTGAAGTTTGTTTTGTGTATTATGATTTTTTATGGGTTTTGGAGCATAAGAATCTATATTCAATTGATTCTAGTATCTTGGCTACACTTGTAGGGACTGTCAAAAGGGACATATAGTAGATAGAGATATTGGTGCCCGTGCTTTTAGTTAGTATAAGTCTCCCCCTTAAGATAGGAAGTTTCTTTTGTATCCCGCCAATTTCCTCTCAAATCGCGCCACCACAGGATCCTGAGTCATTAAGTCTTTATATTTAACTCCCGATGGTAACCCGAAGTATTTAATCGGCAACTCCACACTTTTACACCCTATAGCTCGCCAAAGTAGAAGCATCCTCCCATCACATTCACTCAGTCTCACCAGCTGGGACTTGGCTAATTTAATATTGAGTCCAGAAACCGCTTGAAAACTCAGCAAAATGTGTATGAGATTAAGCATTACCCCCTCATCTGGTTCACATCATACCATAATGTTGTCAGCAAAAAATATGTAAATTACCTCCTCTGTATACTCATCCTCAACCACCTTTAAACATTTAAACAACTCCAACTTCTGACTCTTAACAACATTTTTGTTTGGAACTTCCATGACAACTATAAATAATAAGGGGGACAAGGGATTACCTTGTCTAAGGCCTCTGGATGTTTTGAGGAATGAAGACGGACCTTCGTTCGCCATGACTGCAAAAATTTTAGAAATACATGAGTTGATCCACTTGTCTCATTTGTCTCCAAAGCCCAACCTCTTCAACATATAATCAAGAAAATCTCAATTTATATGATCATACACTTTCTCCATATCCAACTTATATAAGACACTCTCCCATTTTTTATATAACATATCATCCACATATCATTAGCTATAAGAGCCGCGTCCAGAATCTGCCTTCCTTCCACAAAGGCATGTTGATACTCGCTCATCACCCTCTTCATCACCTTAGCTATCCTTCTGGCTAGCATTTCCACTATGAGCTTAGAAAAACTCCCAACTAAACTGAGAAGTTTGAAGTTCTTAATATTAGCCGCCCACTCCACGTTTGGAATGAAAACCAAAGAGGAGAATTTAAGTTGTTGTTAAATGCCAATATGTGGGTATTTCTTTTATGTTTTTACATGAACAAATTAGTTCATGTGGATATGAGAATTAAGTGGCTAATGATAAGGTGCTTGCATGGATTTGCTGGGATTTTTCTTCGCATGAAAAATTCATGTAAAAGAAATGCTGATCAATTCTAAGGTATAAAATCTGGTAGGCTATTTCAGCCTTAGTTACGGTGTTCCAATACTCCTAATAGATTAATGCTTCCATTATAATCAATGTATGACATGTTGCATGTTACTCTCAGCACTTGGTCAGTGTTTACAGCTTGTTATAGCCATGGTTTAGGGAAGTGCAGAATCTGTCATTTATTTTGATGCTTATTTAATTTGCTACCATTTGCTGTGACATAATAGGCCCAGTTTTTATACTAGTAAATGATATATGTCTCCTGTATTAGTTTTCTTTGGGACTCATTTATGTCTTTTCCTTTTGTGGTTGAGGTCTTTGATTATGTTTGTATTTGGAGTTGGTGCAGAGGCATTTGTTTTGTTTAAGTTGGGCGAGAATCTTTATTATATATAAATAGAATAGTTTTTAGCTTTATTTTTTTGTCAAATAAAAAGTATGAGTATTCTTAACAATGCACCAAAGGGGTGCAACCCATGTACAAACAGAGTTTTTAGCTTCAATTAAGAGTCTATTATGTTGGCTGGGTGCTTTATGCTGTTTCATCTGGTGTCATCTTTTTGAATTCAATCTCTCCCTTGAAGATTAGTGCACGAGGTGTCTGATTTTGCTCCCAATATAATTAGTAGTGGTTCCTTTTTAACTTTAGGTTACTTTTCGTGGAGTCTTGTCGTTGCCAGGCTGTGACACCATGAGATACTTTTTTTTGGGTGTATTTTTCCCATTTTTTCCCTAAATCTTTTTTTTTTTCAAAGAACAAGAAGGATATATAAGATTATTCAAAAGAAAAAGAAAAAAGAAGGATATATAAGATAAGGAGAAGAAAATACAACAAAGGAGAACGAGATATCCTCTGAAAAGGAAAAAAAAAAAAACAAAACCAAAAACCCAACAAGAAAAGCAAAAGAAAACATCTCACCCAATAACAATGACATATGCATGCATAGAATATGGATATGGGTGCAAATTATCTCTTACAGAAGTGTTTTGACTTTCTAAACATTCTATATCTGTCTTTGAGAACTACTCTCTACTTTGTTTTTTTATTCTTTTGTAAATTTTATAAATTGGCCATGTTCAGCTTCAAGAAGTTTTCTGTTCGAATTTGAGTAGTTCATAAAATTGAAGAAGCTGAGGGTTCGTGGCATCAGTCAGGAAAATTCTACATATCCAAGGGTGGGATTTTGGCAATCAAGGTGTCTTTGGGTAAAGTCAATAGTTTTGTGGTAGTTATCCATTCGAGTGAGGGTGGAAGATGGCATTGTAGATAGTATAAAAGTACGGATGCTATATGTAGTTTGGGAATAGCATGATTTTGTTTTTCTTTTAGTGATATTACAATGATTGTAACATGTTCTTTCAGATTTTGCAATCTTCTTGACTCATTGGGGCATCCACGAGTTTGTTTGGGTCTATATAGTTGTCTTATGAATGGAGACTGGAAGGTTTTTCTGCTAAGCTGATATCAACTTTTCTTTTCAGCACGGGTATAATCTGAATCAGCATAAGAGGGAATATCAATGTTGGTCCCGTGATTGATTGTTTTCATTCATACAGAAAACATGAAACTCGTTACATTTGCCAGATCCATTCGTGCATGTCGTGCCCTTTCTGAAATAAACTGGGCCTTTGCAGTTTCATTCATTCCAATGTGATTTCGTTCCAACAGCTCCCAAAGCAAAGCCTAAACTGTATAAAAATCCTCCCTTTTATGATCCATATGGACCAAGAACCCCTCCTACAGATAAAATTGTTCAGCTAGCTAAGTGAATCATTGCTCTACCTCTAGAAGAACACAAACAAGTTAGTCCTGCTCTTCATGAGAGGTTAAGGCATCCAAAGTTGCAGCCAATTTCAGCCAGAAGGCATGGACATGGGTCTGAAGTGAGATCAAGGACCTGAAAAGGTTGAGAAGGAAAAGGAGAAAACCGCATTTGATGCCCTAATAAGCTTGCCTGTGCATAAGTAACTAGGATTACCCTCAAATATTCAACTTACGCCAAGCCAAACTTCCTTGAATAACAAATAATAACTTTGTCGTAAGGACTCAAACTTGGTTCATTTCAATAAACAGTCAACCTCTTGCTTCAACATCATGAACTTCAAATTAGATAATAGGGAAGCAAACTCAAAAAATGAAGAGCCTAACTAAATGTTTTGAACTTTGTAAAATATTACAAATTGGTAGAAAATCAGATGGATGAACTCATGTTATAGCTAAATAGATATCTAAAATTCTATTTCGTTGTCATTTCTTAATTATATGATATCTCAATTTGTTTAATATATCATTCAACTTTAACATTTAAAAGTTGTAAATATAATAAAAATCTAATTTTTAATTAAAATATACACTTCTAACTTAAGCCAATATGTACAATCATATTGCAATTTTGGGGAAGTTAAACTCCACCCGCATGTCTCCTTGACAATAGAGCAAATGGGCACGCCGACACTGGTATACCACGTGGGTGACATGTTACTACTAAGGTTTATTATGTGCTTTCTAAATGTGGGTCATCTAATTGATATAATCAAGACAAATTGTTTTCTCCATCAATTATTTTATGTTTATCTTCTAGAAAATTTATTTTTTTAACTTCCAATATAAACAATTATGATAATTGTCTCCTTTTTCACTATACCATTTAATATATATATATATATATATATATATAAATTTTAATAAGGAAGGTTTGTAGAATTTTTTATTAAATAGTTTTAGTTTCAATAAAAATTTAATTAGACATTTAGTATAATTTTTATTTAGATAATTGTTATTTCAATATAATCAATGTAATAACTCATATCCCTTTTATTTACATCATTTTAACCATATTACAATTTTTAATTAAACAATTAGTAAATTTTTTTATTACGTTAATTTCTTAATAAATTTATAAATAAAAAATATAACTAAGCAAATAATATATAGAAAAAAACTTTTAAGATCCAAAAAGATTACTTTCATTTAAATTTAAAGTGAAGATTACTTCCTTCTGTATTTACGTGTTTTAACATATATAAAAAATTTACCTTATTTTATGAATTGCCATGTGCATTTTCTTTTTATTCTCTAAATAATGTTAAAATAGAACCTCTTATTTTTATCAATATTAACATATTAATTCCAAATCCTCTAAACAAATATAGATTTTTGAAAATTTTTAAAAGTGATAATTATTATGATTTTCAATTTATAATTTGATTTTTACATTTAAAATAATTTGAAAATAAAATATTTTTAGATATAAAAATAATCTATAAATGTACAAATTTTTTCATTTCTCCAAAATCAAGGAATATATTGTCATGCCCCGATACTTGATATGAGGCGCAATTTCTGCTCATGTCATTTTTATGTATTGGACTCATAAAATATATATATGCGTAATCAAAAATATGATACA